GCGTACGAAAGGCTGTCTTCCACTCGTCGCCGTCTTTGATCCTGATGAGGTTATAACCTTCCTTCAGGTCAATCTTCGAGAAGATAACCGCGCCTGCTACTCGATCTCGCAGCTCGTCCATAAGCGGTAACGGATACCTGTTCTTGATGGACACACGGTTAAGTCCACGGTAGTCAACGCAAAGTCGCAGACTACCGTCCTTCTTCTTCACAAATAGGATTGGGGCTCCTGCCGGGGATTTGCTCGGCCTAATCTTTCCCAATCGCAACATTTTGTCCAGGTACTCCCGAAGCACCTTCAGCTCGACTTCGGATAGGGAGTAGACGGGTCCCCATGGTGGTTGCTTCCCTGGTTCGAGATCTATCGCATGGTCGTAGGATCGATGCGGTGGTAATTTGTCTGCTTCCGATGGTAGGAAGACCTTAAGGAACCCATGGAGCCAAGAGGGAAGAGTTTCGCGGAGGTTGACCGATTCATCTTCCAAGAGACAAATACTACCGATGAATTGGGCCTCCGGATCGTCCAGTACACCCTCATCCATTTCTATTTGAGGTTCCTTGTCAGTGAAGCATCGACTCTTGCAGTTCTCGCCATCGTAGGAAACTTCCCCATTTGACCCTATAACCGGCTTATGTTCTTTCAACCACCAGTTCGGTAATATTGCATCGATGCCAAGTGGGAGAGGGGCGATTTCGAATGACAACTGTGTTTGGTGCCCCCTCGACATTATAATTAATGGTTGTGTAAAGGCGTGTCCCGTGCCCTTCATAACTTCTCCCGTAAATCCAAATACCCGGGCCGGGACGTCTCGTTTCACCTTCGGGACCTCAAAACTATCAACAAAAACAGCAGACAAAACAGGACCAGTTGCACCAGTATCCAATAACACCTTACAAGGCAAACATTTTTCCGCAAAACAAAGGAACTGATTAACGATAGGTCGAGGACCATGAATAGGTTCCTCCAAAATTTTCTGTTTTTTCTCCGGTTGGGACGCTCTCCCTTCCTGCCTTTTTCTTTTCATATTTTTTTTGTTGTTTTCCGTCAGTGATAACATAGCAATCTGGGGATACTCCTGACCTGACTCATCAGAGTCCCCTTTTAAAAATCCTCGTCGAAATCCATCTCAGATTCCGACCCGCGTTCTCGCACAAACGCTTGCCCACTGGTATACTCCGCAGCAGCCGTCGCAGCCGGCTTCTTAGCACGGTGCCTCATTCGTTTTCTCTGAGGTTGGGGTTCCGGTGGTTCCATATCGTGGTCGCCATCATCATCGCGGGTACGCTTTCGGGAGAAAGAGGAGATAGATGCACTGCTGTTAGCATCTGAACGACACCACTTCCAAAGATGACCCTTTCGGCCACATCGCACACAGGCTCCATCGGTCTTTCGCTGTTCTCGAACCGGCTGTGGAACTCCTTTGGTGGCTTCGTCGTAGTCGTGGTATATTGGCTTATTCCCCGACTTGTTCTTGCTGGTGCTCTTCTTATCTTGCCCCTTTTCTTTCTCCTCAGTCTGAGCCCTCCCCTTGATCTTAAACCCCTTCTCCTTTTGCCGCGAGTTCCCACCATTATTCGTCTCCCTTCCTCTCGACTCCGCTTTCCCCAACATCTTCATCTGCTCTTGATAAGCTTCATGAGCCTTGCCGGCTCGTTCCAACTGTTGGATGTACTCGGAGTCGTCATCGGTTGGATCGAAGCGTGAGTGGCGCTCCCGGATTTCATTTGGTAGTCCTTGGAGCAGGGCGGCGCGATAGGATGCTCCTTTCATCTGAGCGTGCTGGTTCATGATCTCCATTCTCGTCAGGTAGTCTCCGATGTTAGCAGAGTACTTAAACTGCTGCATCTTCATCGCGTTCTCCATAGCCTCTTGAGTGCTTAGAAAACGTTTCCTAATCTCCTGACGGAACCGAGTCCAAGTAGCGTAGTCCGCGGCTGCCGGTCCTAGCATCTTGGTCTCAATATATTCCATAAACCATTCCTTTGCCAACCCACACGTATACGTCCCAGCGAACAGTACCTTGTTCCTGTCCGTTCGGAACTTCTTGGGCTTCTGCTCGAAGTAGATCTCGCACTCCATGAGCCAATGCCGCAGGTTATGCTTTCTGGCATTATCGAACTCGAAGGGTATTTTGGCGAGCGAATCTACCATATCGTCATCTTCAGGCGGCGCCGAATTCCGGTTCCCGCCTCGGTTCCTTCTCCAATTCTTCCGACCGTGCGACCATTCACTGTTATCGTCGTCATCGTCGTCGGAAGGTTCTGGGTCTCCCCCAACGTTTCCTCTTGGTGGGTTCTGGGGAGGTTGATTTCCACCATTCCCACCAACTGGAGCAGCTTCCACCGGTCCTCTGCCACTATTGCCATGCACTGGGCCGGCATCCTCCGGTTGCCTGCCTCCATTTCCTCCTACGGGACCAGCATTTCCTCCTACTGGACCAGCATTTTCGGGTTTCTTGCCATTGTCAACAGGAACCGTTCGGGGCGTGTTAGGGTCTAAGGGAGCACTAGCCACGGAAGGTGCTACTGACAGGTGTTGTCGCAGTAGTTCCTCCATCTCGGCTATCCGTTGGTTTCTTAACTCATCGGACTGCTTGAATTGCGCGAACATAGCCCGTTGTTCCCCTTTCTCCTGCTCCCGTTCTTCTCGTACCATCCTCAGCTGTCGCTCCGCTTCCAACAATTGGTTCTGGGTAATCCGATGGTTGCGGTCCAGAACCTCGTGGTCAGCGGCTCGTGTGGTTTCCTGCATTTGTTGGACATGGGTGACGAGCTCAAAGAGCGACTCGAGGTGTTGTTTTTGGGCAATGGCTTCTTGCCGTACTTTCTTATCCAGGATTTGTCCACTCCCTTGGACTTGCTCCTGGAGGTTTTGTAGCTGCTGCCAAACGGCCTGTCCAGCTGCACCAAGATACCTCATTTGTGCCTCATGGGTATCCAAAAACTCCTGCATATTCCTCACGAACTGGGCTTGAGCAGAGCGTTTACTCGATTGCCTAGTTGTTGTAGAGGGTCCGCTCGTAAGTAGGGGATCTGGGCTAGCAGCCCTCGATATTACCATAGAATCTTCCCCCCCGGCCTCCTCGGTTGCGGCCGAGGTATCTATGAAATAATTATCCCTTCGGGCAGTCATTGTAATAGGGGATAATGATGATAGTTCTTCCTTTCGAGGTGACTTCGTTACTCCAAGTGAACTTGTGAGTAACAATATACTGTGAGGGATGCGTACCAGACCACAAGAGTACCCTACGCAGAGCTCAGAGTTCGGCTAACAGCTACAAAGGTAGAAGTCTCCAAGGTCTCTTCAGTCAACGTCGAGTATGATTCTCCTTGATCCGATACGGGCCCCGCGAGCTACGTTATCAACAAAGATTCACTAGAGTTAGCGTATAGAATTCGACCGTCTTCGACGTAATAGTTCAGGTAGAGTTCGAAGTCACGATAGAGTAAAGTAATTCCAAAAGTATAGTCAAATAAAGTTGTAACTCGCGTATCAACGATTTATATTGTTAAGACTCTGATTTCGCCGATGATGGTTTGGCTAGTCAGTGAATGACACAGTATTTATATCCCTCGCTTATGTCTCGAGGACCCAGTCTACTAATAATACAGAATACACTCGGGGCATGCCCGAGACCCTGAAAAACAACCAAGAACATTTAACTCCTAAGTCCGTAACCCAAACTCCTAAATCCGCTGAAACCCCTCAACCTATTTATCCACTCTAATGCACATTTCCCTGTCGATGTTTCTTCTCCATCAGCCGTCTGGTGGATAATCGTCAGCGTCGGCTATTCGGAGGTCTCGGACGGCAAGGCTACCTACTCAGGCCTCTTCCCACATCGCTTTCCCACATAGCAGAGTCCTCTCATGCCCACAGGTACCGCCGATAGGTACTCGGTCGGCTGGCAGCTTGCGCCGATTCGCTCCGAGCGGTCCGATCTTCGATCCGATTGATTCCAGCTGTCCCTCATATATCCACCGGTACCAAAACACTCCCCTCCGGCGGTTTGACGCTCCGGGGGTTATTATTGGGGTCGAAAACGTGTTTTTTATGACTCTGGGTTTTTTGGTCGCAATTTGGTCGCACCACACTCCGCGAGTGTGGTCAAGAGTTGATATTAGTGTACAGAGGGTATTGGGGTATCTACTAGCCTTTCTCTCACTCCCGTAAATGCTTGGCATGCCCGTAACAGGACCGCTCGGAGCGAATCGGCGCAAGCTGCCAGCCGACCGAGTACCTATCGGCGGTACCTGTGGGCATGAGAGGACTCTGCTATGTGGGAAAGCGATGTGGGAAGAGGCCTGAGTAGGTAGCCTTGCCGTCCGAGACCTCCGAATAGCCGACGCTGACGATTATCCACCAGACGGCCGATGGAGAAGAAACATCGACAGGGAAACGTGCATTAGAGTGGATAAATAGGTTGAGGGGTTTCAGCGGATTTAGGAGTTTGGGTTACGGACTTAGGAGTTAAATGTTCTTGGTTGTTTTTCAGGGTCTCGGGCATGTCCCGAGTGTATTCTGTATTATTAGTAGACTGGGTCCTCGAGACATAAGCGAGGGATATAAATACTGTGTCATTCACTGACTAGCCAAACCATCATCGGCGAAATCAGAGTCTTAACAATATAAATCGTTGATACGCGAGTTACAACTTTATTTGACTATACTTTTGAAAATACTTTACTCTATCGTGACTTCGAACTCTACCTGAACTATTACGTCGAAGACGGTCGAATCCTATACGCTAACTCTAGTGAATCTTTGTTGATAACGTAGCTCGCGGGGCCCGTATCGGATCAAGGAGAATCATACTCGACGTTGACTGAAGAGACCTTGGAGACTTCTACCTTTGTAGCTGTTAGCCGAACTCTGAGCTCTGCGTAGTGTACTCTTGTGGTCTGGTACGCATCCCTCACAGTATATTGTTACTCACAAGTTCACTTGGAGTAACGAAGTCACCTCAAAGAAAAGAACTATCATCGTTATCCCCTATCACAATGACTACCCGAAGGGATAATTACTTCATAAATACCTCGGCCGTAACTGAGGAGGCCGGAGGAGAAGATTCTATGGTGATATCAAGGGCTGCTAGCCCAGACCCCCTACTTACGGGAGGACCCTCTACAACAACTAGGCAATCGAGTAAACGCTCTGCTCAAGCCCAGTTCGTGAGGAATATGTAGGAGTTTTTGGATACCCATGAGGCACAAATGAGGTATCTTGGTGCAGCTGGACAGGCCGTTTGGCAGCAGCTACAAAATCTCCAGGAGCAAGTCCAAGGGAGTGGACAAATCCTGGACAAGAAGGTACGGCAAGAAGCCATTGCCCAAAAACAACATCTGGAATCGCTTTTTGAGCTCGTCTCCAGTGTCCAACAAGCACACGAAGCTGCACGAGCCGCCGACCATAAGGTTCTGGAGCAAAGTCATCTGCAAACCCAGAACCAGTTACAGGAGGCGGAGCGACAACTGAGGATCGTGAGAGAAGAGCGGGAGCAGGAAAAAGGGGAGCAACGAGCTTGGTTTGCGGAATTCAAGCGGTCCGATGCGGAAAGAAACCAACGGATAGCCGAGATGGAGGAACTACTGCGACAACATCTGTCAGTAGCACCTTCTGTGGCAAGTGCTCCTTTAGACCCTAATGCGCCCCGAACGGTTCCTGTTGGCAATGGCAAGAAACCCGAAAATACTGGCCCAGTAGGGGGAAACGCTGGTCCAGTAGGAGGAAATGGAGGCGGGCAGCCGGAGGATGCCGGCCCAGTGCAGGGCAATAATGGCAGAGGACCGGTGGGAGCTGCTCCAGTTGGCGGGAATGGTGGAAAGCAACCTCCCCAGAACCCACCAAGAGGAAACGTTGGGGGAGATCCAGAACCTTCCGACGACGATGACGACGATAACAGTGAATGGTCGCACGGTCGGAAGAATTGGAGAATGAACCGAGGCGGAAACCGGAATTCGGCACCGCCTGAAGACGATGATATGGTAGATTCGCTCGCTAAAATACCCTTTGAGTTCGATAATGCCAGGAAGCATAACCTGCGGCATTGGCTCATGGAATGCGAGATCTACTTCGAGCAGAAGCCTAAGAAGTTCCGAACGGACAGGAACAAGGTACTGTTCGCTGGAACGTATACGTGTGGGTTGGCAAAGGAATGGTTCATGGAATACCCCGAGACCAAGATGCTAGGACCGGCAGCCGCGGACTACGCTACTTGGACTCGGTTCCGTCAGGAGATTAGGAAACGTTTCTTAAGCACTCAAGAGGCTATGGAGAACGCGATGAAGATGCAGCAGTTTAAGTACTCTGCGAACATCGGAGACTACCTGACGAGAATGGAGATCATGAACCAGCATGCTCAGATGAAAGGAGCATCCTATCGCGCCGCCCTGCTCCAAGGGCTACCAAATGAAATCCGGGAGCGCCACTCACGCTTCGATCCAACCGATGACGACTCCGAGTACATCCAACAGTTGGAACGAGCCGGCAAGGCTCATGAGGCTTATCAGGAGCAGATGAAGATGTTGGGGAAAGCAGAGTCGAGAGGAAGGGAATCGAATAATGGTGGGAACTCGCGGCAGAAGGAGAAGGGGTTTAAGATCAAGGGGAGGGCTCAGACTGAGGAGAAAGAAAAGGGGCAAGATAAGAAGGGCACCAGCAAGAACAAGTCGGGGAATAAGCCAATATACCACGATTACGACGAAGCCACCAAAGGAGTTCCACAGCCGGTCCGAGAACAGCGAAAGACCGATGGAGCCTGTGTGCGATGTGGCCGAAAGGGTCATCTTTGGAAGTGGTGTCGTTCAGATGCTAACAGCAGTGCATCTATCTCCTCTTTCTCCCGAAAGCGTACCCGCGATGACGATGGCGACCACGATATGGAACCACCGGAACCCCAACCTCAGAGAAAGCGAATGAGGCACCGTGCTAAGAAGCCGGCTGCGACGGCTGCTGCGGAATATACCAGTGGGCAAGCGTTTGTGCGAGAACGCGGATCGGAATCTGAGATGGATTTCGACGAGGATTTTTAAAAGGGGACTCTGATGAGTCAGGTCAGGAGTATCCCCAGATTGCTATGTTATCACTGACGGAAAACAATAAAAAAAATATGAAAAGAAAAAGGCAGGAAGGGAGAGCGTCCCAACCAGAGAAAAAACAGAAAATTTTGGAGGAACCTATTCATGGTCCTCGACCTATCGTTAATCAGTTCCTTTGTTTTGCGGAAAAATGTTTACCTTGTAAGGTGTTGTTGGATACTGGTGCAACTGGTCCTGTTTTGTCTGCTGTTTTTGTTGATAGTTTTGAGGTCCCGAAGGTGAAACGAGACGTCCCGGCCCGGGTATTTGGATTTACGGGAGAAGTTATGAAGGGCACGGGACACGCCTTTACACAACCATTAATTATAATGTCAAGGGGGCATCAAACACAGTTATCATTCGAAATCGCCCCTCTCCCACTTGGCATCGATGCAATATTACCGAACTGGTGGTTGAAAGAACATAAGCCGGTTATAGGGTCAAATGGGGAAGTTTCCTACGATGGCGAGAACTGCAAGAGTCGATGCTTCACTGACAAGGAACCTCAAATAGAAATGGACGAGGGTGTACTGGACGATCCGGAGGCCCAATTCATCGGTAGCATTTCTCTTTTGGAAGATGAATCGGTCAACCTCCGTGAGACTCTTCCCTCTTGGCTCCATGGGTTCCTTAAGGTCTTCCTACCATCGGAAGCAGATAAGTTACCACCGCATCGATCCTACGACCATGCAATAGACCTTGAACCAGGGAAGCAGCCACCATGGGGACCCGTTTACTCCCTATCCGAAGTCGAACTGAAGGTGCTTCGGGAGTACCTGGATAAAATGTTGCGATTGGGAAAGATTAGGCCGAGCAAATCCCCGGCAGGAGCCCCAATCCTATTTGTGAAGAAGAAGGACGGTAGTCTGCGACTTTGCGTTGACTACCGTGGACTTAACCGAGTGTCCATCAAGAATAGGTATCCTTTACCGCTTATGGACGAGCTGCGAGATCGAGTAGCAGGCGCGGTTATCTTCTCGAAGATTGACCTGAAGGAAGGTTACAACCTCATCAGGATCAAAGACGGCGACGAGTGGAAGACAGCCTTCCGTACGCGGTATGGACATTTTGAGTACCTCGTCATGCCTTTTGGGCTGGCAAATGCGCCGGCGACCTTCCAGAATATGATGAATGATGCGCTGAGGGAATTCTTGGATCAAGGTGTAGTAGTATACCTTGATGATATCCTAATATATAGCAAGTCTCGAGAGGAGCACAGAGAGTTGGTCGGCAAAGTACTTAGTAGGTTACAAGAATACAACCTAGTCGCCAACCCGAAGAAATCGTTCTTCGAGCTCACTGAAATCGAGTTTCTCGGATACATCCTTGCCCCGGCAGGCGTCACCATGGCACTGGATAAGGTCATGTCTGTTACGAATTGGCAAGCCCCGCGCAGCGTTAAGGAAGTACAGATCTTTATGGGCTTTGCCAACTTCTACAGAAGATTTATCCACAATTTCTCCGGGGTCTGTAAACCCATTACCGATTGTCTCAGGGGTGATGCTAAGAACTTTGTCTGGTCTATGACGGCCCAAGCAGCCTTCGAAAAACTCAAAACCCTGTTTACGTCTGCGCCGATCTTGGTACACTTTTCTCCAGATCGCCAGACTATCGTGGAAACGGACGCAAGTGATTTTGCTATTGCCGCAATTCTATCCCAGGTTATTGACGGAAAGACTCACCCTGTCGCCTTTTATTCCCGAAAGCTAAACCCAGCGGAACTCAACTACGACGTCTGGGATAAGGAGATGCTAGGAATTGTGTCAGCCTTCAAGCAATGGCGTCACTACCTCGAAGGACCTAGCCGAACGGTTCTCGTCTATACAGATCATAAGAACTTGGAATATTTCTCAACAACCAAGGTTCTTAACCGACGACAGGCAAGGTGGGCTGAGTCTTTGGCGGAATTTGACTTCAAGATTATTTACCGCCCGGGAACCAAAAATGGGAAGGCAGATGCACTATCGCGACGGCCGGAGTACCGTCCTGAAGGGGGAGGCACGCTTGGGAAACAACCGATAGACAGGTTCTTTAAGCCCGGACAGTTGGCGGAGGAAGAGTTTGTGGTATCAGCGGTGTCGCTTGCCTCCAAGGGGGTGATTGACTGGTCTAAGAATTTTCTGGATCATGTCAGGCAGGCGGCATCGGGAGACCCGACATGGGTAGGATTGAAAGAAAGAGTTGAGCAGGGAGAGAAGCTGGGGGAATTGAAGGATATCGCTGAGAAAGACGGGCTACTCTTCTATAAGAACCGACTCTACATTCCGGCAGACGACCGTATCAAGATCCGAATTGCACAGTCAGAACACGATTCGAAGGTGGCAGGACACTTTGGACAAGACAAAACTTTGGAACTCATTACGCGCAACTTCTATTGGCCAAAAATGAACGAGTGGATTGATGATTACGTTCGGTCATGTGACGAGTGCCAGCGCAACAAACCCAGCCGCCATAAGAAATACGGTGCGCTTCTACCACTGTCTACGCCACATGCTGTCTGGCAATCAATATCAATGGACTTCGTCGTACAGTTACCGGAATCAAAAGGATACAACCAAATCTGGGTAGTAGTCGATAGGTTCTCGAAGATGTCGCACTTCATCCCCCTAGTAGCAGAAACAACCGCGCAGGATTTAGCGAAGATATTCCTCGGCCAAATCTGGCGACTCCATGGGCTGCCTCTCGACATAGTTTCCGACAGGGACGCCAAGTTTACTTCAAGTTTTTGGGCATCCCTTATGGAATTGTTGGATGTGAGGATAAGAATGAGTACGGCTTTCCACCCTCAGACCGATGGGCAAACAGAACGGGTCAACCAAACCCTCGAGCACTACCTACGAGCGTTCTGTAATTACGAGCAAGATGATTGGGCAGAGCTACTCCCGTTGGCGGAGTATGCTTACAACAACTCGGTTACCACCGCCACGGGTCAATCTCCGTTCTATACCAATTACGGTTACAACCCAAGAACCAACTGGCCGACGGAAGCCGAAGTGGTCAACCCAACCAGTGACCTGTACGCTCACTTCATCCGAGGAGTTCATGATTCTGCTCTCGCTCGCTTAACAGACACCAGGGAGAAGATGGGGAAATACTATGATCGAAAAAGG